ACTGAGCTTTTTCTCCCAGTTGAGCCAACAAATCCCGGTGATGATAAAATGTTGCAAGCTTTTCTGCAAAGGAATCTACACTCTGTTGATAAGGTCCATAAGGCACTTGCAGCTCATCAATCCCGATTAATTCTCCGGGACCATAATTCGCAAATGTGAGTACAGGCAAACCGTAACTCATGGCTTCAGGAACCACCATTCCAGCTCCTTCATGAGAAGGGAAAAGGAAAAGTTGAGAGGATTGGTAAAGGGCTTTCATTTCTGAGTGAGGCACCCAATCCAGCCATTTGATTCTGGAAGCTACTTCCGAATCTTCAATCATTGCCTGGAGTCGGTCTTTTTCATTCCCCTTCCCTACCAATATCAATTGTACATTTTCGCGTTCATTTTCACTCAAGTTCTCCGTGAACTCAACGAATGCCCGCAACGCAATGTCAAAGCCCTTCATAAAATGGAAGCGTCCAGCACACAAAACAGTGAATTTTTCTCCGTTTGCTTTCTCAGAGGACATTGATTCCGGAGCCGCCACGGCTGGTAAATGAATTACCTTGGGAGCTCCGGCACCAATTGCTTCCTGGATTGAAGAGTTAATGACAAATATCTTTTCAGTTCGACGAACGGCCTTTCGGTAAGCAGGATTGAGCTTGCGCATCATCCATTTCATTCCGAAAAACATGCGATCAATCATGTATGCTTTTACGCCATACTTCAGCACAAATTCCCTGGGGATCATCGGGTGATGCCCAATTGGCCCCCAGAAAATCGGTGTGTTGAATTTCCACAAAAAGTGTGGATGACTATCACTATGAAAATTTAGGCTCATTGCCAGGTCGAACTTAAATGCTTGTTTCTTAATAAATCGAGCGATGTATCGCTGCCAGAGATAGAAGTAAACGACGTGTCCCTTCGACCCCATTTTTTTCTTGATTTTCAATACCGCTGGAGGCAAATCAAATCCAACGAAGTGAATTCTATCCAACAGATCTGTATCGTTGTCCTTGAACCATTTGACCAAATGCGGAACATTGTTTTCCCGGGTGATCAGTATCACCTTGAACTCCTGAAGAATCTCTCGGGTAATATTCCACCCGGTTCCATCTTCAGAGCCCTTAAACGGGTTAATGGCATATGCGGTAATTAAAATCGTTTTCATCTTAGGCTACTTGTTGAATGTCGTCCATAATGTGTGTAATGGTATTCTGCAGATCTTCGTTTCTGCGTACGATGTATCGTGATCGGCTATAACGATCGGAGAAACTTCCGAACAAATTCAAATAGCCACTTGTTAATCGATTAATGGTCGGTAAATCCAACTCTTGTTTTCTTCTTACAATGTCTTCCGCCGGTGCACAGAGAAAAATGTTCAATGAAGGTTTCATGATTCCTCTGTATAATCCTTTGGCTAACTTTCGATTCACCTTAAGGTTTGTTCGCTCCGGATTATTGATCAAATCGAAATAGTAACGATCATACAACACGATCTTTCCTCGCCACACGTACTTGATATGTACATAGAACTGACCAAAAAAGTAATCCAGGTA